ACTATAACGTAAATATTCCATGTCACACAAAGTTGATTTGATTTGATCAACTAGAAAGGAACGTGGAGAGTAACACGTTCCCGGCTATAACGTAACTTACCGCAAGGATCCAATGAACCATCTGCAACCGCTGCTGTACGATTAATTCGCCGTAGTCCGTAGTAGAACAGTACTCCTCGGCGTAATCGTGTAGATACAATTGTCTCCTCTCTCTCTTCCTTATCATCAAATAACTCTCTTCATCCTCTTCTTCCCAACCCTCCTTCATACACAGAAAAATTCATAATGATTTTAAATCTAAAATATTAATTACAATATCAAAACTAGACAAAAGCCTGAATTTCAACGGCAATTATAAATTTATAACTACGTTCTATATAAATTATCTATACCTACATGTGTTTTGTGATACTTCTCCTTTGATTCCATTATTCAGTATTTGTAATTTTAACACAACGCTCATAATTCTAATTCGATGAATTAGAGAGAGACTAAAAACACACAGAATCATTATGATTTTAAGGCTAACAAATACGTATACAATATTAAAACTAAAAGAACACATGAATTTCAACAACAAAAAAGAACAAAAGCTATATGTCTAATCTCAAACTAGTTTGAATCCGCTATTTAAATTCTCTATATGAATTTCAAATTCGATGAATTTAGAGAGAGATTAGATTTTGTGAAATTTAAATTATCAGTACAAAGGAAGAAGAATTTATAGAATTTCAAAGTAGATGAATAAACAGAATCATAATGATATTAAGGCTAACAAAATTAATACTACTACAATATCAAAACTACACATAAAGCCTGAATTTCAACAATTATAACGTGTTCTATCTAAATTCTCTATATCTATTATGATACATTTTCAAATTCGATGAAGTTAGACAGAGAAAAAAATATGTGAAATGTAAATTATCAGTACAAAGGAAGAAGTTGAGATTTTATAGAACTTACGGTGAATTCAGTAGAAATGTAATCGTCTGAGGAGTTTATGGAAGGAGACTGCAAAGCGACGGTTGATCTGAAAAACTGTTGACTGAACTGAAGAAACAACGTGAAAGTATGTGAAGGAGTAGCATCTGCGTTCGATTTCTCAGAAAACTGGCTTCCAGAGTCGTCGTACCACAGACTATAGTCGGAGAGATCTATATCGGAACTCTCCGGGAAAATCTCCGACTGGAGTTCGGAGTAAGCTGATGAGTAGTCATCAGAAACATCAGTCATTGAGAAATTTTCAGAACATTCTAGATCAAATTCTGCTTCAACGAGCTTCTCATGTGCTTGTTCTTCAGCTGATAATTCTACTTCAAATTCCGCTGCTCTGTTTTCTCTACTTTTGATTGTTTGAACTGAAGAATTTGCACATTTCGACTCAGAAGGCGATTGTAGCACAGAATTGAATGAAACAACATCTTCCGCTGCTCTGTTTTCACTACATTTGATTGTTTGAACTGATGAATTTGCACATTTGGACTCAGAAGGCGATTGTAGCACAGAATTGAATGAAAAAACATCTTCCGCTGCTCTGTTTTCACTACATTTGATTGTTTGAACTGATGAATTTGCACATTTGGACTCAGAAGGCGATTGTAGCACAGAATTGAATGAAAAAACATCTTCCGCTGCTCTGTTTTCACTACATTTGATTGTTTGAACTGATGAATTTGCACATTTGGACTCAGAAGGCGATTGTAGCACAGAATTGAATGAAAAAACATCTTCCGCTGCTCTGTTTTCACTACATTTGATTGTTTGAACTGATGAATTTGCACATTTGGACTCAGAAGGCGATTGTAGCACAGAATTGAATGAAAAAACATCTTCCGCTGCTCTGTTTTCACTACATTTGATTGTTTGAACTGATGAATGTGCACATTTCGACTCAGAAGGCGATTGAAGCACAGAATTGAATGAAACAACATCTTCCGCTACTCTATTTTCACTACATTTGATTGTTTGAACTGATGAATGTGCACATTTCAACTCAGAAGGCGATTGAAGCACAGAATTGAATGAAACGACATCTTCCGCTGCTCTGTTTTCACTACATTTGATTGTTTGAACTGATGAATGTGCACATTTCAACTCAGAAGGCGATTGAAGCACAGAATTGAATGAAACGACATCTTCCGCTGCTCTGTTTTCACTACATTTGATTGTTTGAACTGATGATTTTCCATATTTAGACTCAGTAGGCGATTGTAACACGGAATTGAACGAAACAACATCTTCATCGTTGATTTTCGCATCGTTTTTAGAGCTTTTACCGCAAAAATCAGCAGAAGTTTTCAGAAATTGCGAAATTGCATCTGAATCCTCAGTTCCTTCAATATCTTTTATATTTCTTTTCTGTTTTGATACGATATCAACTGGATCTTCATTTTTCATGATTTTTCCAATAATTTCAGAACACGAATCAACACAAGAGCACTCCGATAATTCCAGATAAGCATCTTTCTTCTGATCATTCTCAAGCATGTTCTTCCTGTAATAAGCTCTAGTAATTCTCCTAAATTCATCTCCTTGGATTTCACGCTTTTTCACTGCTGTTTCCTTATTCACGGAACTTTTGCTCGAATTGCGTGAGAATTCGCAGGTCAAGTGCGATGAATTACCAGCAATAGAGAAATGTAGAATCGGAGAGATATGTGATCGCCGCCGGAGAGGTAGCTTTGACCGGAGCTGCTTCTTCACCGCCGGTTGAAGTGCTTCTGAGTGTAACTTTCGTTTCATTGCTTGTACTTTGGTTCAGAACGTGTGAATTTTCTCAAGTGGAGTGTTCAAGTTGTGTGTGCGTGATTCAGAGAAACTGAGAGAAAGCCGTTAATAGCGTTTGTTTGCTCGGAGTGTGAGGGCTTATATATGCTGTCGTTGAGTGGGGCCCGACGTTGATGTCCACTTCAGTCACGCTTTTTAGCTTTTTCCCTTTCCTCGCATTTTCTTTTTCTTTTATTTTCGTGCGGATTCCGACTTTTGTCCCTTTAATTATAACGAGTAGTCGTGGATGCGCGATCAATCTTAAAAATATTAATTAAATTAAATTTTGATCGAGTTTGTTTGAATATATTAGATTATATTACTTTAATAAATTTTTATTGTCATTTTATTTGTCAATATAATATACCAATAACAAAATCTTTATTAAATTAAAGGGACTTATATAGTCATTAAATAACTTTTTTATTCTATTTTTTTTTATTCTATTATCCAATATTTAGTATTTTTATATTGTTAATAGAAATTTTTTATTAGCATATTCTTTGTTTTATATTTTTGTTTGCTCGCTTTCTTTTTGTAATATAAGAGAAGATATATATATTTTATTAATCATGAAATAATTTTTATTTTATATTAGCATATTATTTAATATTTTTGTTTACTGCGTCCTTTTTGTAATATAATAGAAGATATATATTTTATTACTCTTGAAATATTTTTTTTTATTTTAAATTTTATCCTATTGTTCTCAATAATATTATTTAATTTTTAATGAATAAAATCTCTATAATATTAATGAGACTTATATAGGCATCGAATAATAGGCTTGTTAGGTATTTTTCTTTATTATATTATCCAATATTTAGTATTATTGTATTGTTAATAGAAATTTTTATTAGCATATTACTTTATTTAAATTTTTGTATGCTACTTTCTTTTTATAATATAATAGAAGATATATTTTTATATTTTATTCTATTATTATCAATAATATTTTCTGAATAAATAAACTTTTTATTTTTAAAAATAAAAACAAAAATCATTTAAAAAAATAAAGAAATTTTGAATTGGCAATTTTTTATTTTAGTTTTTTATTTTAAAATGATTTAAAAATTCTAATTTGAATGGATAGATTTATTTTAATTTTCGTTTCTTATTATAAAATATTTTATTTTATAGATATTTAAATTTAAAAATAATAACCAATAATTAATTATTAATTATTAATTAAATAACTAATTATTAACTACTTATGCCATGTGGCTTTTTTTTTAGGTTGCCACTTGGCTTAAGGAGAGGACTTTTTTCTCTCATTTTAATAATATATAAATTTTTAAATTTAAATTCTTAAAATGATTAATTGTACAAATCCTTCATTTGCCTTTGCACTTCATTTCTTGGTTGGAAAGAAAGCTCCACGTGCATTACGATATGTTGTAGAAAGAGAAGATAAATAATTAAAAATTGTGAATATACTTTCTCTGTTTTGAGTTATGTGGTAACTTTTCTTTTTAATCTTTTTAAAAAGAATATCACTTTCTCTATTTAAAAATACTATTATTTTAAAATTCTCATTTTATCTCACACAAATGTTTGTGATATGTTTGAGATTATAAATAAATTTTTAAAATCTTTTCTTTCTTTAATAACTTTTGTGTTTAGTCAAACAACGCTACAAAAAATTGGTAAAAGTACTTAGGCATTGTGGCTTCTATCAAGTTTGGCAACTTTTTGGGAAGCTAAAAGTACATTTTTATTTGCAAAAAATATGTTTTTGAAAATTTGAGGAAAAGCTATGAATATTTATTTTTCAAGATAAAAATATTATTACAAAAATTATATTTATTGAACTAGCTTTCAGTAATTTATCTCATATAGAAGATAATGATCCTTTAACGATTTCTTTTTTTTTTTTTAATTCTCTTAGGTGTAAAATAAATTTATTTTAAGAGATCTAACATAAAACTAAAAAAAATTATAATGGACCATAAGCCAATTAATTAAACTTGATAAAGAAGAAAGTAATGCTGGACAAAAAAAAAGGAAGACAAATAATAACCGAGTTTAAAGCATTTAGAAAGAACCCCTGCCTTTTTCCGAAATTACTGTTTAAGCCACTGTAGCGCACAGTTTGCGTTGCTCAATAAACTCACCTCCCCTGCACTATCTCCCGCCAGTTTTCTTCATTTCTCACAATTCATTCCGATTAACTTTCCAAATTCTCCAAATCTTTCTCTCTCTACACTCTCAGTTCTCTATCTACAGAAACAATGGTGAGCCCAGCAGAGATATCATCGTTTAATGCTTTTCTCATTTCAACTACGGTTTTCGAATTTTTGACTCATTTTCTTTTAATTCACATATAATTCTCACTTTAATTTTCTTTCGGATTTTCAGGTTACTGTTCAGAAACTGAAGGAATCAGAAATTACAGAGCAGGACTCACTCCTCCTTGTAAAAACCCTGTTAACTTATCCTTTCGACGTTTTTCTATTCATCAGCTAATTATGATCGCATTAATTTGAGTTTTATTACTCCGTATATTTAAACAGGCATTAAACGAACATTTAGTATCTGTAAGAGCACGCGCAAGCATATAGTCTATATATATGTAGCTTTTCAATTGCAATTGATCGGAATGTTAGTTTCTATTGCTAAACAACCTAAAATTTTAAAATATTTTAGGAGACAAGTTCACGATCATTGAACCTGATCTAAAAAGAATTGTTAGATTCGAGAAGTTATCTTCATTTAGTATCAAAACTTTGCATTATATTCTGAAATTGTATCGACCTAGCCTTAATATGTTATTTTATGCTCCATTCACCATTTTCCGAAATTATGGTTATTGGTTGTTAACTTCTGTGCTTAAAAATTTCCAGTGACTGTCAAAACTAACATAATCCGGTCTCGTATTATGTTCCTTTTACTACAAAATTTGTTTGGGTAAATTAACAGAGAAGTTTAGGCTGTTTTTACTACTGTGATAATCTGTATTGTGTTTGTGTCTTGGGTAAATTTGTCAGTTTAAATTGTCACTTGATCTATTGATCAGTGAACTGAACTGTTTACATTTCTATTATTTTGAATTCTAACTTTATCTCATGTGTCATTTACATATTAATATCTATCTATTCCTTCTTGGTTCTGAAAAAACAGACAAGGAACTTGATGCGCATTGCTTTATTCAACATTGCTTACGTCAGAGGCCTGTTTCCTGAGGAATATTTTAGTGATAAATCTGTTCCAGCTTTAGGTAACTTTTTTTTTCCCTGCTAAACCTGTCATGGTAACAGTCTCTTTCAGTTGTCTGAGTTAACTCAGTGAGTACTTATATCACAAACAGAGATGAAAATTAAGAAACTCATGCCCATGGATGCTGAATCACGTCGACTGATTGATTGGATGGAAAAAGGCATGTTGATCTTTGGCTATTTTGTGATACTTTGTCAACTTTTATAATCTGCCATGACAGCTCTTTACATCTCTTTGTTTTTTTAGGTGTTTATGATGCATTTCAGAAGAAGTATCTTAAAACACTCTTGTTCAGCGTGTGCGAAAAAATAGGTGGCCCAATGATCGAGGAATATGCATGTATGACCTCAAAATAGACGGTTGAGTTTGGACTGTATAGATAGTTACATGTTTGCACTGATTAATGATATCACAGGCTATGTATTTCAGCATCTCAGAATAGTATGGCTTGAAACAATGAAAACGCAAAATAATAGCCTTTCTATGTTAATTTTTTATTATTTCTGAAACTATAATCTTGGAGCTTGAGAAAAACTGATACTTCTGGTTCTTTACTTGCAGTTTCTTTCTGTTACTCAAACTCTGACAGCCAAGAAGTGTCAATGAATGTCAATCGCATTGGAATGAAGAAAGGGGGAACATTCAAGTGCAATTCAACCGCTGAAATAACTCCCAATCAGATGAGGTAGTTATATTGATCCATGAAATTCTTGTTCATTGTTTCGTCCCATGCTAGTTGATTTTGGATAGCTAGAACCATTGAGTTAAGAAGTAGCACTGTTTCAGGAGTTCTGCTTGTAAAATGGTCCGTACATTGATTCAGTTGATGAGAACTTTGGATAAGATGCCAGAAGAGGTAAAGCTTTTTGGTATTCCTTAAACGCAGGCTACATTATTCATTAATCATTGATGTTTCATTTTCTCTGAAACTTTCATCTTGTTTCTAATTTCAATTTCTTTTCCTCCTTTCCTGTTTTTTCAGCGAACGATACTGATGAAGCTCCTTTATTATGATGATGTCACTGTATTCCCTTCACTCACTCTTTTTGTCCTTTCCTAACTTCCTCTACTCTTACCATTTTAATATTTTAGTCTCAAATGTCAATTGGCTTGTCAATATACTGGTCAAGTGAAGGTTGGTAACAGAATTGCTGGTTGTGCAGCCTGCTGATTACGAGCCTCCTTTCTTTAGAAGCTGCACTGAAGAGGAGGCTGTTAATCCATGGACTAAAAGTCCTTTGGAAATGGAGGTTGGCAATGTCAATAGCAAGCATTTTGTGTTAGCTCTGAAGGTATGGGGCAGTTATTTCAGGAAGAAGGATATTACAGTTTTCAGTTTAATGCTCATCAATTTGCATTAAGTGGTTTCTGCACAGCTTAAGAGCATTCTTGATCCCTGTGAGGATGAGAATGACAACAATCAAGATATTAGTGTGAGCTTGGGAGCTGATTCCTTCCAGGGTGATGACAGCGAATCTGATAGTGAGGTAGAACGTTATTTCTCCTAGCCTCAATTGTATATAAACCTTGACTGCATTTAGTATCCTCTTAATTTGTTTGCACGGACTAAATTCTGCAATATGATGATATATTTCAGTTCAGTCACTCTGATGATGACCAATACATAGTTGCCCCAATTGGTAATACATATGTCTATACCTGACTGATTTGCTTATATATTTCCTTACCTAAGTACTTCTGAATCACTTAAGTTTAAATAACAAATAATCTCTTCACAGAGAAGCAAGATGCTCAGGATAATGGTAATATGGATGATGAAGGTATTGTTTACTTCCATCAAATGCTGCCAACTTCCTGCTGGACCAAGTGCCAAATACCTCTAATGTGCTATTTGATTTTTCAGATGATACTCAGGATCCAGATGAAGATGAGCAACAATTTGCTAGGCTAAAGGACTGGATCAACTCATACCACCTTGACAAAATTGAAGTGACTGATGTTCTGTCTCATTTCCCTGACATATCAGTGGTAAAAACTCTGATGCTGGTGGTCATTTAAAGTGCCTGTTTCTCTCACAACTTCTGGTCAGTTTACCTAATATGCTATCCTGGTTGCAGGTCTTGGCTGAAGGTAATGGAAGGACATCTTTAACCAAATAAGGAGCATGCTAAACCTATGCTTCATAGAGGAGACCATTGATCAAATAATCTTGGCCCAAAAACGCCATTTAAAAACTAAACTAAGATGAATAAAGCCTATTTTCTAAGTATCAATCTTAAGTAGTTCTACAGCCTCTTCTTCCTTTCAATTTCATTTCAGACATTATAGAAAAGCTTGTTAAGGAAGGCATACTTTCACGTGCTGGCACAGACTGTTACATCATTAACAAGCAAATGGTTTGTTAGCATTTCCTTTACTGGTTAATAGTTTCCATATATATATTTCTTCCATTTGGTCATAATATATACTTTCTGGAATACCGTTATTTCAACTGATACTCAATTGTAGAAATTCAACTATGAGTTCGACATTGTGAAAGAAGAAATTAACGGCCAGAAATACCCAAAAGGCAACCAAACTCAGCATGGCAAGGGTGAAGAATACATGTACATGAAGGTAAGATTTTTCATACTCGGCATTGGCCTGATGATATCTAAGTGGGTGCACGGTATCCTTTTCGAAATGTGTTTTCATGTTATATGAAGCTGCTCTAACTAATAGTTTCTCATCTATTCACTTTGTGTATCTATCTATATATACTCATGGGTTTTGAAAGTTTCCACCTACTATTTGCCCTTTGATTCTTCTTTCTGGAATCGGTCATTCAAATAAAATTGTCAGGTACGGAGCAGGTCATTTTTGTACTGAGTCCTGTTTATAGAGTTTTTATTTTCCTCGTTTCTACACGTTGTGTATCCACCTTGTCAAGGTAAAAAGCTTTTTTCTCTGTGCATGCCATCCCCACCATAACCAAAGTGATGATGAATGCTTCTATTGCTTTTACAAATGGCCACTACCCAATATTATCAGATTAAATGGAAAAAATATAAGTGATTCAGGATGATAAAATGTGAAATGAAGGTTACATTGATGTTCTTAGAAGCTGCATGTACAGAAATGTAGTTCTGATGTAGAAGGTAGAAATACTTTTGGACTTCACTTTAATGGAGATCAAAGAGTCAGAGTGGTTGACCTGACCATTTATCAAGTGCAATTATAATAAAGGTCTGTTGCACTTGGGATAGATTTCTTGGTATCAATCTAGTGTCTTGTTCTGGGAGCTAGAGAATTCGAGATGACATAGGGAGGGATAAGGTGGCGGTCCTGTTAGAGGATCCATGTCTTTTAAGTCAGTGGATGCTGACTTAGTATAAATTTATATACTTTATGAATTCTCAAATATGTGTACAGTTCCAGCTGAATCCAGTGGTTGGACCTGCATCCTCTTCCAACCATCCAGATCCCTGCCTGTCAATGACTCAATGCTAATTTTTTGTCATCCATTGCTAACTTTCCTTCGATTACCCTCCTAATATAAATCAAGAGACAAATTATATTTTGCCTTGATGGTTGATTAATTATTAGAAGGAGCTTTGAATAGCGTTCATACATTTGGCTGTTGTAGACAAAGAATCTTATGATCTGTGATTTTAAAGAAAACTTTAGAGCAAAGGCAGAGACGAATACATTAGATCCTGCCTGAAGCATTTGGAAAGAGTAAACATCCAAATAACATCCGATAGATTGTGGAGAAAGGTTTAGCGTTCTCATTTAGTCAACTAAAGTTCTCAAAGTTATAAGAGGAATAATATTACAGTATCCTATTTTACTAATTGTAAAATTTCTGTTCTGAGATGTATGGAATTTATATGCTAAATTTCTGGAATGCAAGTTTGTAATGGCACTGTCTTGTTTCAGGCTTTGTATCATGCTCTTCCAATGAACTATGTAACTATTAGCAAACTTCAAAGTAAACTAGCAGGAGAAGCAAATCAAACTACTGTGAAGAAGCTACTAAATAAAATGACACAAGATGGCTTTGTTGAGGCTAGCAGCAACCGCAGGCTAGGTACGCACTGGTGAACTTCATTTTTTGGCGTTGCAGGGAGGAGAAAGAAACAGAATATCACTAACCACCATTTGTTATATTGCTTTTGTTATTGCAGGCAAGCGTGTGATCCACTCTGACTTGACTGAGAAAAAACTGGTTGAGGTTAAGAAGGTCTTAGAGAAAGATGCCATGGTAAGAGTCACAAGTTTATATGGGTTCAATAGTTTATGCACTGCAAAAGTTTTAATCAATTTTGAACTATCTTTATTGGTCAGGATGTGGACATGAATAAATCAGGTAATAAGTCCAACAATTTAGAACTTCGGGTAGTGTTTACTCAATTTAATTTATGCTTGTAATCAAGATTAAAACCACAAAAGCTATGACTGCTTTGGTGCTGGCAGAAAATAATCATAGAGATTTATCCACTTGTGGTGCTCTCCGCTCTATTGGATCATACCTCACACGCACAAGAGGCAAATCTGATGCATACCAGAATGGCTCTGTCTTGAGCGATCAGACGGTCTCAAAGAGAAGAGACCACGGAAACAGTGGAAACACCCCTTCAAGCAAGGCAGAGGTTAGTTCATGCTTGAACTGTTTCACTGATCTGAAAAGTTGGTAACTGAAAATTCTTAAGAAATAACTCGTTATATATGACATTATGCAGCCCATACCTACAGGGGAGAGTTTCGTACCTGGGAATGAGAATGCGAAAACATATAGAAGCACAAATCGTGATGAGTTAGAGACAGTTGTCTGTAGCTTATCCAGTCAGGGTAAGCGTAAAAGGAAAGCAAGCATGGTATGCATCAATTTCTCCCAATGAATTTGGGATAAGTTATACTACTTTGAATCCTGAAACTCATTCTTCTTTTTACCTTTGTTGTCTGCAGGTAAAAGATCCTATTCCTCAGTATGTAAGACGCCAAAAATCTCAAATTGCTTGAAGGTTCATGACATGGATACTCAATTAGTAACATCTCTTGGTAGTTTCCTTAGTAGTTTCTTTAAATCCAAGCAGTGATATATTAGTTTCATCTATAAGTATGATAGTGCGAGGAACTAGATATATTAGTTTCATCTAAATCTACTTGACAGAGTATACCGGTGCACATGATACAGTAGTCAACAAAAAGTAATGTTTCACTTAACTCAAATATATATGTTATGCAACCTCCAAATTCAAGTTCACAGATGTACTTCCCCTGGCTTGATATGTTGGTTTTGAAAGGAGAGGGAAGTAAGGGAGCTTTTGTTTCCATCCAGTGACTAAAGTAGATTGTTTTAGTTTGCTGAAGATGTTAAGATTTATGTCATTCTATAGTTATCTTCACTATTGAGCACAGACGTCAACCTTTTACGTATTTTTTCCCCTTTTAACTGAAATTCAATTTACAATTTGTTTGATTCAACTTTTCCGAAAAACAATTTCGCTTAGTTTGATCCATTTGCGGTTTGAGATCAGTACTCAGTAGTAGCACTCATATAGAGCATGATTAGGTGAGGCCAACAGAAAATTTTATTGCATGATTTACTGATCACGTCTATCAAAAGAAGTCTAACTTTGACAAATTACTATTTCGTCTAATTTATAGCAGGCAATTGAAAAGGAAAAAAGGAAAACCATTAGGGTCACAAGATCAGATGTTGACAATGGAAGCAGAATTGTGCCCTTTCTCTTAAAATCTCTCGTAACCTAATTATCGTACTCCTTGAATATAGTTTTGGCGTGGCAAGCAGTATTTTTTAAGATTGGTATTTTGTCCACGCGAAGCTTCACGCACTATCTTACTTTGCCAAGTAGAATCAATCCAGTTCCCTGCTAAAATGTTTGAGGGTTAATACTCTGCTCCACTTCCTGGGTTATTTATTATCTTAAATTGAAAATTCCAGTTCAGCGCCTCCCTCAGAGCTCCATGGGAATTAGAACTTGTCTAAAATCCATATTCAGATAAGAATTGGTTAAATTTAATGTTTTCGTATTGATCACCTT